CCCCCCCCCCCCCCCCCCCCCCCCCCCCGAAAAATCATCCATCAGCTGCCCCATCATTATTCATATAAACTTCTACCTGCCCCCACCTTCAAAGTTTGACCACTGAGCAAACTCGACTCGATGCCAAATAAAATGAAGTTTATACCCAATATACTGTGTTTGCAAATGTTTGGTTCAAATCCAAAGATATGACCAAGACCATATGGTTGGACTGTACTAAAGCTAGCTCCAGAATTATTTTGGTTATCCCCACTGATGGCAACACCTTTGGGAGCTTTTGTGTAAATCACCAGAGCCACAAGTTTCAAAGTCTCTCTTGTGTGTCCAGGACAAGATTGGAGGGGGGGGTTGTGCTGTTATGTTCATTAGTCAAGCTATGAAATCTACACAATGGAGTGTGGAACCAAACAGGAAACTGCTGATGTGACTCCCTTGGCGTGTGTGTGTGAAAACTTTGAATTGCTCAAGGTTAGCTGGGGTCTGCCCTGAGATCTGACGGATTCAAAGCGTGTTTCAGAACGATTACTACTTGTGGGCTATAATTCGAAAAATGCTTAAATCCGCTTTCTGACATGTTTGAACCGCAGCCTTCGGTTAAACACAAGGAAGGCGGTCCGGGTAGGCGTAACACCGATTACTTTGGAGCAATGGCACGTGTTTGAGCAGAGCGCGCGAAGATCACGCCATGCGCACCGGTTGTGGCGGAAATATCAGGCGCGCGTGACCATAGCGGATGCGCGTGTGGTGGAACGTTCCAATACTATTCGAAATGGCTTATGTTTTTACTAAAAAGTAAAAAAAAAAAAAAAATCTTGTAGTATGACTTAGTTTTTTCCTTGCTGTTCAACCATATTCGCATTAGTAGATACTGTCTATATAACGGACAAGCCAGAGTGAAGCGACAGCAAAGATGACGCTTTTCCGGAATAAACTCTTAAGCTAATGACGCGGTAGGTACGAAGTTTGTAATAGAAGTAATGTACAGTGTTGTCGCTATGAAGTGGATGTCTGATCCAATGTGGGAACATTTCATGCAATGGGTTTTGTATTTTTTATTGTATTTGCCTTTCATAACTAAGATCTGGTATTGTACTTATTTCATAGGTCATGTTTACGAACGTAGACATTTAGGTGACAGGTTCTTGTGGTGTACAAAATTTTTTATAGAAAACTGTGGGAGTACCCTTTCATACTCCCAAAAAGGGGGAATCCATCTATCCTCCATTCGCTTATGCGGGTCAGAGTCGCTGGAACCGACGCGAGGGGGCACGAGGCGTTGGGACAAACTGGACGGGATTGCAGTGCATCGTATGGAAGGCCACGCGCACGCACTATGGGATTCCAGTTAGTCCAGCAGCATGACTTTGCACTGCGAAAAGAAAAAAGCGGGACACTGGAGATGCCATGCAAACCACACACACACACACACATACACACACGGAGTACGCACTGAGTCACTGGGACTGCTCAAAAGGGGAATTGTTCTGTTTCAATGGCTGAAGTTTACAGGGTCACTGGACGGAATAGTTTTTTAGCGAATCTTTGTTTCTGAAACAAAACATGCGAAGTGATGTTTTGGTGAAAGGTAGCGCATTCATTTATTTATCCCTCACGTCAAAAGGAAAACCTTTTAGTGCGTGCGTCAAAATGTAAAGTCAACCAGAGTGCATTTCAAGCAAGTTAAATATAAATGGTTAGATAAACAAGGCATATTTCCTTATTAAAAAAACTCAGTTATGTGTTAAACTATGTTCAAGTTGCACATTTTATATAATAGCCGTATTTGTACCTATTGAGCTTAATTTATGTATTTTCATTTATGGTTTGGTAGTTCTAGTGTCATAGCTGTCAAGTATCCCGTTTTGGCCGGGAAACTACCGTATTTTACCCCTCTTTCCCGCCGTTCTCCCGTATTAGTATTTTCCCGTAAATCTCCCGTATTATAATATTTTTTAAAAAAATCCTCTGCCTCTTCAAACTGAACTGCCAGTAGCCTCACGAGAACTGCCACCTGCAGTAGTCTGCAGGTCATTTACAACATTAACCAGGTCATAAATGCGGAGGTTAAAATGGCAATGGTGTGTGGCAAAAACAACGTTACTTTCACCTTCTGTGACGTCTTCAACAAGGATACAAAGTCTGCAACAAATCTGTATAATAAGTCATTAGTGAATGCCAGAGAGCCACATGAGTGAACATGAGAATTTAAAAGAAAATGTGTAATGAAAATAACATGTAAATGACAAGTGGCTATTTTAGATTTCTTGTACACCTGTCTTAAGATGTAAGGGATACTGGAGGTTGGGGTGGTGGGATGGCTCGCGGTGGGTGCCGGAAAATTTCCCTTATTTTCAAATCCAAAACTTGATGGGTAGCCTATGTCGAGTGAGCGTTTTCAGGTCAAGTTATGAAATCAACTTCGTTTCTAACGCTTTAAAGCAATATAAACCGTATAGTCTTGACGTTCGTTGTTTTGTTGGTTTTCTGTTGTAAAGTGACAATTTTGAAAGCTGGGCCGTTTACGGCCTTATTCATGGGCCATATGACACCGTTAACTGTGATGGTGAATTGTAAAATGTTGCACAGTATGGTGTAGCTGTGAAACGTTTTACCGGGTGGAGAGCATGCATAGAGAAGTGTGACTTCCCTGGTGTGTTTTAAAATAAATCAGAGGAGCCTCCTATTGTACCCACTTGGTTTTACTTCCAACAAACAATTTAGTACCCAATTTCACATCATAAACATTAATTTTGCTAGTTAATTAGAAGGCTTAACAGATGTCGATATATGTAAATATTTAATATCCTAAATATTTTTGCACATTGGACGTGTCATTTGCCGGGTGTCGTATAAACACACCTGCTGGCCAATGTGTTAAGCAGACGTAAGATTATCTCATAGTTTCCTTCTTTTTCCCGCTTTTTCCATCTGCTCTGTCAGCACTACAGTTTCCACGCCTCACCCAAATATTCATTCTTGTGCGGATCTTCGTGTCCAGAGTCACACAGAGCGTTTTATTAGCGAATAGTCGTAACTCGCTGTCACATCCCGAATAAAAATGTGTTTTAAAAAGAAAGGACCTTTACTGGGCTCCTTTGCATCTCCCACTTTAAAGAATTTGTTAATCTCCGAACGTTGCGTCTCCAATTGTTTAGGTAGACTCACCTGCATGACAATAAAAATTTCTGCCAGCCTGGGGCGCTATATGTGTTTACATGGGCGGAGGGAATGACTCGGTTCCCGGACGGACACAGCGGCTTTGGCCATGTCTGCAGGGCGTGTAGCGTCATGGCACCGCGCGTGCAGGTTGGGGAGGGAGAGGGGGCTTCATTCTTTCGATAAATGATGGGCGGGGCTTCATGAGACACCGAGGAGAGTAATGTGCATGATACAATGGTGCTAGGAGTTCCTCATTACATCCTTGGCCAAAGCAGGTCAGGCTAAATAAATTATAAACTTATATAGGTGGTAAAACATGAATGAGAGCATTGTCTAAGCCATGCCTTTATAGTCAATAGCTAATCGTGCTCTGAGACTTCTCACCCCCGATAAGGCTATGCAAAAAGGAGGAGACGTTTATAAATATGACCGTCCGTAATGCATGATTCAACAATAGTTGAGTAATATGCACTGAAGCGTCCTTTAGTAACCACTAGAGGGCGCTGGAGATGCTAACTTTCGCAGTAAGAGCGAATTATTAGAAATCCTTCGGTTACAGCCGCATCAGCCTTGACATAATGTTGACTCGGGTAACTGAATGCCTGCGATTTGCAACTACCAACGGCTCATCATTCATAGCAACAATCAGCAGCACATTCCATGCCAAAATGTTTGCACAGTTAAGTAACAATATCGATATACGGATAGAAAAGGCAGGGGCCTAGTTAGAAACTCTGCCCCCCCTCCCGGTCCATTGTACATTTTCACATATAATTTTACGAATTTAAGAGCCCCTGTCTAGTGCTGGACACCCAAAATCTGACAGGGTATTCCTGCCCCTCCGACCCGCCCTGAGTAAAGGCCGTATTTCCTACAAGCCGTGTAAACAACATGAAAGTATCAAAAGAGTCCACAAGGTGGCAGTATCGGTCCGCATTTTTAAGATAAGGTTTTTGGACGTTGCCTGTATTGTCGTTCACGCGCGGTGACCCTAAACACGCCATTCCATCGGTCCATTACCGTTTATAACTGAGTTAAGATGATTTCCACGTGCCATTTAATGACGATGTTACGCCAGAGCTATCACACAGATAAACTCGCTCAAGTTCGTGACAGGTTTTCACCTTTTACACCCATTTTTGATGAGCTTTTTTTTTTGAAGTCCAGAATGACAGGAGTTCAGACCATCTGCAGGGTGACCTTGTCTGTGTCACCGTGTGTTTGTCAGTACTGGGTGAATAAGGCGTTGGCACCAGCCCAGTTCCGTCTGTCTAACACACTGAGAGATCAACCTCAAAACATAAACTCTGCTGCCACTCCTGCGCCACTCTACCAGATCCATAAAGTCGGACCACTGTGACTTCAGAAAGCAGAAGGGCGGGCTAATCACAGCAGCAAAGCGCATAATGGATCAGAACCGAAGCATCACGAAAATAAACATGGAATAACAAACAATCTTGTTTTCAGTTCCAGTCGTCATTGAGGGCAAACCGATTATATGTAGAAATAATAGAGTATGGTGAATTACCATCAGCTTATTGCTATTGCTCAGTTAATTTTATCCAAAGTCTGTCTGTCTGTCTCTCTCTCTCTCTCTCTCATTTGATCATTTTCTTGGGAGACAATTCACCTGGATCTCGCTAAGTATTGCTGTACATGAGATGCTAAGCCATTGTGCAAGTTTGCTTTGCATTCAGAGAGTCATTTTTGCTCTCTTTAGTGTACGTTTACAAAAATCAGGACACCACGGTAATTCTGCGTACCAATAATACAATATCGCGATGAACCGATTCGCAAAGTTGTATCCTGTCCTTTGTCCAGTTTCGTTCGGTCGCACATATTATGCATATAATGTCATATGCGTCCAGTATCACTGGCTGTTACATGTGCTTGAGGTGTCGTCCTGTTCTTCCATTTCATGTTCGGTAAATCATATCCCCCTCCCCCACAAATTTAAGATATTAGTGTCCCCAGCAAAATCAGACATCTGTTTCCCAAAACTGACAGTTTTGACCCTGTAGCACCTCTTGGGAAGGACAGGATGTGGGTGGTACCCTGACTGGGATGCTCAACCAAGTCATTCTGTTTTCACTGCCATTTTCAGACAGTAAGTCTGATAGATGTTTTCGCCTCTCAGTGAAAGGCTGTTGTATCACCCGTCAGCTTGGTTCATTCCCCTGAAGGGGGCGCTGTTTCCTCTCAGAACACCACCTCGCCTCTGTCGGAAGGGTTGCCGGCTCTAGACCTGCTGCCGGCCTTGTTCCTTCTGAGCAGGAACACCACCAGGGCCAGCAGGAGAAGCAGCACAAAGGCCAGCACCCCCCCGATGACCCAGGCGGCCATGCTGGGGCTATTTGCCAGCTCGTACCGCCTGCATGACGTCTTGGTGGGACGGCTGGAGCCTGCACGATTCACAGCCTCCACGCACACCGTGGTTCCAGGATCCAGCTCCGGCAGCAACACCCTCCTGGTTAGCTGGGACGCTGTTAGCAGGTGGTGCCGTCCCACCAGGATCTGATAGTGAGTGACAGCAGATGGGGGTGAGCACCAGTGCACCACCACCTGCGAGCCCTCCTTGGTAACATCCAACAGGACGGGGGCATCTGGGGTCTCGTTTGGTCCACTCACTCCTGGGCAGAGGCAGCCAGTAGAGACTGAGAGGTTCACGCAAGGGATCTTCTGGTTCTCGCAGAGGTCATAGTTACAAGGGAGCACCCGGCTGGATGAATTCTTGGGCTCATCTGGCGAGTCGGTGTACGGATAGTAGTCATAGTCGTCCACACTGTTCAGCACCGCTGGGTCGTTCTCCCCGGCTGAATGGCATGTGAACAGGGCCAGTGAGACGAGCAAAAGTAAGCCAGATGAAGGTGTCATGGTGCCTGTGAACAGCAGTGATCATGTGAGGATGTGGGCGATCAAAATCAAACCACAGTGATCATGTGAGGGCATGGGCAATCAAAATCAAACAGCAATGATCATGTGTGGGCATGGGCAATCAAAATCAAACCACAGTGATCATGTGAGGGCATGGGCAATCAAAATCAAACAGCAATGATCATGTGTGGGCATGGGCAATCAAAATCAAACAGCAGTGATCATGTGAGGGCGTGGGCAATCAAAATCAAACGGCAGTATGTGTGTGGGATGCTGGCATAATGGTTCTGTTTGTGTGCGCAGCTTGTGTGTCCTTGCCTTGCTCCTGCAGGTTTCCTAAAGGCACCCTGGTTTCCTTCTACAGTCCAACAATGTGGTTTAGCATCTCTAGATTGAGTGTGATTGTGTGTGATTGCATGTTACTCTGTGTGAGTGTGTGATAATGTGTGAATCTGTGTGATTGTGTATGATCTTGTGATTGTGTGATTCTGATTGTGTGTGATTTTGTGTGATTATGCATGCCAAGCATGTGATTATGTCAGTTTGCATGTGATTAGGTTTGATTAAATGATTGTGTGTGACCCTGTGATTATATGCAATCATTTGTGATTACATCTGACTGTGTGATTGGATGTGATTATGCATGTGATTGCATATGATTGCGTGCAATTGTGTATGATTGCGTGCGATTGTGTATGATTGTCTGATTATGTGTGATACTGTGATTGCTTATGATTATGTTTGTTTTAGGGTGACCACCTAAATCATGCCAGCAGGGAGACTATGAACTACAACAGGGTTTGTAAACAACCCTTTCATCCATTTCAATTAAAGGGACCCGGATTTCACTTTAGCACTGAGTTCATGCTGCCTGCTGATTGGTCAGTCTCTTATAATCATGCATGAGTCACTAATGGTCATGTGAAACAGCTGGATGAGTCTCTTAATCAAGGAAACAAACCAGTAAAAGTACAAGATGAACCCAACTATTTAGCCAAGCATGGGAGGATTTCAGTTTTAAAGTAGTTTGCACAACCTGAAGTAGGCCATAGTGTCCGTCCTGAAATGGATTAGGTGGTCACCCGAATCTGTTTGAATGTGATTGTGTGCGATTGTCTGATTACGTCTGACTATATGTGACTACATGACTATATGATATGTGATTGTGAGTGATTATGTGTGACTATGTGCACCTTTTTTTTTTTTTGTTGACACAAACCCCTTTTCAGCGCATTGCTGAGTCACAAAGCACTGACTTCACAGGATGTTAACTTGCCCTGTCATTTTCAAAGCCTCAAAATGCAAACAAAAAATATATATATATATGAAAAGCCCAGAAGATGGAGCATTTTGCATTATTTCTTGGTAGCATGTGGAAAACTGACAGGCATCCAGAATGAAAGACTCAGAATCCCACGTGGGCCAATAGCGTCGCACAGCCCTGTGATGTGAATGACAGCAATACAATACTATTGTCTGTCATTTTAAAGTGCAGTGCAGAATATTTACCCAGAATTCATCAGCCTGTGGCTGTGGCTCTCCACCCTCCTCGGTAATCGTTGTTACTGGAAACACTTAAACCACAAACCCTGCTTATGCAACAGAACTATTTAATTAAATAGCCTAATGTCATGAAAAACTTTTTCCAGTACCTCAAAGCAGCCCTTGAGTTTTAAATCATAGTTTATATAACACAAATCATCCAAATCGTTTTTTTTTTTTAAATTATTGTTATTTTTTCGGGACTTGAAATCTTTTAATTTAAATCCTGCTGCACTGTGTCTTAAAACACATTTTATATAACAATATATCTCTTCCATAAAAAACTAGGATTAACACAGGATTGTAAGAGCATGGCTCCTAGTTTTAAGCAAGGTGGATGTACTTATCAGTTATCTGACACGGGTATTTAAAACATCCCAGTGCGCTGAGATCGTGCTGGTACGCACTCTCTCTTTCACCACGAGTTACGCCCTTTGATTTCCATTGAGGAGTGTTTATATCATAAATGAGAGCTGAGCTGTCACATGCTTTCCTAAAGAGCCGGATTCTCCAGGTGTTTTTTCTTTATTGAATACTTTCAGATGAGAGATGTGATATCAAGTAAACAATCATACTGGGATCATGCAGTGGAAACCTGATACCTGCATACCTTCTTACACAAACTCCTTATACAAACAGTTCTACCCAAATGGGATGCAAAATGTCAAGATTATTTGATAGTTTACATATTTTCTTGACACATAATACTGGAAAAAGTTGCTTAAAGATGTTATGCGTGCTAGAGGGGAATCTGAGGACTAAAGTAACATCTTTAAAAAAAATCATCACAGCAACATCTTTCGAAAATTTCTCAAAAACTGAAGTTAAGGTTTGAAAGAATCTAAAAATCTTTTGGCAGCAAGTCAAAAGTTTAAGAATATGTTCTAAAAACAAACTACCATTAAAAAGTTTTAAAGTATTGGGTATCTTTGAGAGGGTACAATTAATGTAGTAGTACACTCTTACTTAATGTATTAATGAATTAGTAACTAAGTGTTAGTTACGTACTGATCCCATGTTCATTCATCATTAATCGATCATAACGGTTCATGTATTTCATGCAGAAAGTAAATTAGGTCATGATTTGTTCTTGAGTAGTAACTGAGTAAGTTATTTGTGTTCGCTCAAGTAAAGTATTAAGAAGAATTTTTTTAGAACGCTATACTTACACCAGAGAGTGACTTTATGAAGACACGCAGCTGTTGTCCTGTACGGGAGCTCACAGTAAGGACCCTCTCACACTTTGTGTTGTGTCCTGTTTTGATCGTGGTAAATATCAGGCTCTCGTGGCGGGGCAGACCTCGGCGAGGTCCTCGTGCGTCTCCGTGCAAAGCGGCTGCAGCAGCAGCGTGCTGAGAGTCAGAGCAGCGTGGAGGGAGGACCCCAGTGATGCGGCGTGACTGTGCCTCCTGACGGTGTCACCCCCACGCCAGCAGAATCGTGTACAAGGGGACTGAGTAAGTCACAGTTTCGGGGACCCCCTTCGCCTGAATGGCTGATTGTTCCAGAAAATTCTCTGTGCCTTTTCTCTTCCTCTCTGTTCTTGCTCTTCCCCTTTCTCTCTGCAGTTCTCTTTTCTTTTCACCCCTTTTCCCCGGGCCCTTGTTCTTTTATAAACTCCCCGCAAGAACGGCCCCCTCCTTCCAGTGATCTACCAAACCCCCGCCCAGTGCAGTGCACCCCCCTCCCATTCCAGTTTCAGCAAAAAGCACTTCTGAGTTTGAGTGAGTGTGTTTGTGTCGGTTTTGTGTATTTGTAAGTAAAAGGCTCGCACACTCTGCCGGAAAACCACAACAACCTCACATTCCTGTCTAGGAGTCAGATTGCCAACGTCGTCTTCATTTTTCTTTAAGGGTGAGCAGTGACGTATCTGCTTTCTGAACATACACCCCAGGGGTGCGGGGGGCGTGGGGGCACTCTGCCCACGCTGTTCAACACTCACTTATTCCAAGAATTCCCTCCCTCCCTGCGGAAGGTCAGCGTGTTGTGGGGACCCACCTGCTGGGAAAAGAAGTTAAAGAAAGGACCAATAATGAGGTTAGGGCCTGTTGATGGCAGGAGAGAGAGAGAGCGGGAGAGATTACACCATACGCCTTCCGAGAACTGGAAAAGAGAGCCTAGATCTGCATGAGTGAGAAAGATGCATGAATAAAAATAGGAATAAACAATGAAGGTAAAGTCATACAATAAGTAAGAAAATTACAACATAGAAGCAGGACATATGTGGAGAATGCTCTGCAGGTCAAAGGTCAGCTGCCTGTACACAAATGGTTTCCCCTTTACCGTTTCTGTCACGGTGCCTCCATGTTTCACCCATCTCCGGCCTCTTAAATACCTCCTTTCCTTCTCCACCTCCTTGCCCGGTTTCGGCAGCACTGGGGGAGCTCCGTGACACATCTGTTACCAGTTAATCTGCCGAATAAGGGAACAGGAGCTCATCTGTGGAAACTGGACTTCCTGTGAATCTTTACCCGATAGGGCTGAGGATGACACCTGGAATGTGACCTTGTGTTGCATGTGCGTTTCCCATCATGATTGGTCACCAACATGCCTGTTTCCACCTGCCCCGTGTGTGTGTGTGTGTGTGTGTGTGTGGGGTCAGCAGCATCTGGGAATCCTCAGTCCATTAGCCAGAAGCTAATCGGAGTGGAATGATGTTGATCAGCTACGGTAGGCGGGGTCAGTCACAGCCATGGGCCGGTACCACCAGGGCACGGCAAAAACGAGCACTTCAGAGGCACAGAACTCTCCGGGTCATCTCAGCGCATGCTTCACGGCAAGCTGACTCACTGGAGCGCTGAAAACTCAACACTGAGTAAATGTTTACTTTCTAACGCAAATACGCTCGACTTGATAGGAATCCGCTCCCCTAGAGAGCTCGGTGACAGGCTCTGTGCTCTGTCTTGTAAAAAGCACCGGAATGGCCCGAGATATACAGCCAGGGAGCAGCTGTATCCCGCCACCCTGTGGCTGAGAAAGTAGGCAGCGTTCAAGGTGCAGGAAATTGCTTTGTTGCTTGAGCGTCGGCCATCTTTACCGCCTGCCACTGCAAATAGGAAGTGATGCAGCCATGGCAGGAAATTGGACTGGTGAGCGACCTCAATTTCACACCGTAGCTAGTCTTCTGTGTGTTCCTTTTTAAATCTCCAGGTGGTGAAAGAAATAGACCTTAAAATGACGTTTCTGAACCCAGTCCTCGTGGAACCCCAGGACATGTTTTTGTACCCTTTCAGCTCCCAGCACAGATATTCGGTGTTCTTGATTGTTTGGTTCGTTCATAATTGTTTGTTTTTTTTCTTGATTGTTTGGTTCGTTCATAATTGTTTGTTTTTTTCTTGATTGTTTGCTTTTTTTTTTTTATAATTGTTTGGTCTGTTCTTGATTGTTTGGTTCAGCTTTGCTGGGAGCTGGGCGGGAGAACAAGTGTAGACTTGAATCTCCTCACAGTTCTAGACATAACATGACGTTCTGATGATGCTTCAGGTCATCGTTTGACGACACTCTGCCCCACAAATTTTCTCTCTGATTACAGTAAATGAGCTGGTTGTTGTAACTAACCTAGGACACTCATGCTGATTCACCCCAGAGCATCATTAGTTAATCATAGCTATTAACTAACAACTGACTCGTGGTTCTTAATCAGGTGGGGCGGACCCCACGTCACACTGACAGATCATGAGACTGGTGCCCGGTGGTGAACCAGAAGGAGGTCAGGTCCGGGCCCCTTCTAGGTGGGTTGGCCCCCCTGACCTGTAATAGGGCTGCCGTCATTGGCATCACACTCACTGATTACGCCTGTGTCTTAGTGTGGTAAAAAAAAGGAATAACTTTGCAACATTTCATTCATTTAGTAGACACTTATCAAAAGTGATGTACATTTTTGAGAAAGTAGGTTCAGTGAGCAAGGGGGAGTTAAGGGTTCTGTTTAAGTGCCCAGTGGTGAAATCACTCTACCTACTGGGATTTGAACCTATGACTTTATGACCACAGGCACAGTATCCTAACTCACTGAGTGGCAGCGGTAGTGTGATATTTGTACCTGTATAAAGCTCATTTACTCCCTGCCCAACTTACCGGCACAGGTGGTCTCATTCCGGGGTGGTTTTTCCCATCCGGATGAAAAACTTGGGCTTGTCTGGTTGCCACGGCAACTCCATAGGAGTTAAGAGGGACCCCGTGCACCCGCTCCTGGCCACCGGCTCCTGACCCACGCCAGCGACCCAGAACCAGAGCTGCCGCAGAGTCAACAGCTGCCGTCTGGCCAATGAGATAATCACGAGGTAAGTTGTTCTCGCACCGACAGCACTTAGTCAAGGCATTTAATTTTACTCTGCGGGGGAACCGTCATCATCGAGTCAGTGTGACGTCGACCCGTGTCAGGGTGGGAGGTGATCGTCATGGAAACTGCAAAGGAGTCAGAGTGGTCTGAATTGGCCCCGCCTCCCCGTGGAATCTGCTCACCAGAAATGCCGTATTTGTTTACCCAGCCTGCCGGGATCTACGCTCGCTGTCTCACGGCCTTCCTTCTTCACTTCTTTATTCACAGTTAATTGCGTTAGGCCGAAATGCCGGGAGCCGTCGAAGGAGCGAACAGACATTCCATCCAAATTGCTAATTTGGCCCGACGATGGCAGGCAGGAGCGGGAAATGATGGGATTGGCCTCTACCAATTGCTACCTCTGTCACTTTAACAGTGACAATGACTAAGTGTAGATACCCTTGATAAAAAAAACCAAAATGTTGGGTTCAGAGCAGGGGGGAACGTCTGTTATGCAAGTGCAGCTTGGGCATTAAGGGGGGAGTTTAGTTCAGAGCCCATGTGACCACAGGGTACCCAGTATGTTGGGGTGCGGCCCACGTTAGTGTTAATCTGAATCTGTTGTAGGGCAAAGGTCACAGTTACCCAGAAAGCATTGCCCCACCAGAACCGCTACATGCCTGAAGTCTGCGGATCGTTGTTGCTGCAATAAGAGCCTCTCAGTCTGGGCTGATTTCTGGCTCCTAACAGTCTTGCATTCCTCTATTTCGCAAGTCTTAATTAAAAATTTCTGCGGCCTAATTGCTTAGTCCGTGGGAACTGTGGTCTCTCTATGCTTATTTTTATCAGTGGCTGGGGAGGGTGAACGTGGCGAGACAAGGTACAGCACTACCGGGGGGGGGGGGGGGTGGGATCCAGCCAGACGACATAACCTGGGGGGGAGGACAGGAGGCTGGCTGTGTAATGTGGAGCAAGACATCTGCAGCATGTGACCCATTGTGAGCTATGCGTCCATAGCAGGGTTTAGTGACCTGTGAGTCTTTGACTGCCCCCTTGTGGCTCTGAGACAAAACAGACACTATACAGCCAATCATAAATAGCGAAGACAACAAGATGGAGCTGCTTAAATAAGCCATATGTCAAGTGACATTGATAAGTAATAAATCATGAAGTAGAAAACCACAGAACATTTCAACATCGATACATCCATCTTCTAGCTGTTCACCCAATATAGGGTTGGGGGGGGGGGCAGCCTATTCCTGGCACCATGGGGTGCAAGACTGCGGTTGGCACTGGGCAGGATGCCAGTCAATCTCAGGGCATCATTAGACACACACACAGGGGTCTTGTTTTCAATGTTGTGTCCTATTTTCTGCCTGGCTAACAGCTAAAGCAAGTCCCTGATTGGTTAACTGGAAGTTGTGTTTTACAACGTGACTTCTAAAATAGATTAAAAAAAAAAGTAGGTGAATCCTGGCCAAAGGAGAATAGGCTGAATCTCTGGCGTCCATAGTCAAAGCCGGCCGCAGCAAGATTACGGTCAAATTGTAAGAAATCGAGTTAAAAAACCACAACCGCCACCATTCACTGAAAAATGCACAGGCCTGAATTAAAGTATGAAGAAAGGTGTTCTAAATGTTCCATATACAGGGATGTAAATGCTTTAAAAAAGCAGCTTTGGTTGAATGAAAGTCTGTTTGTGGTCTCTGATCACTGACCATATCCTTTGGGGGCGGGGGGTGACAGGAAACTTCTATTACAGCCACAAAGGGCCTGATGATTTTCCGCGTTACCGCTGCATGATCGAGATTTAATTATTTTGTCCTTCACAGCACTGCATCGCAAAAATTGGCACTCGTGCACATTCTTTGATTCTTTGGGGGGGGGGGGCATTATAGTTTTTCTGGTATCGCAACCCCCTCCTTTAGGGTCGCCGAGCCCCAGATTAAAGCAAACCACACGTTCAAAGATGATTCGTAGCTGGAGGAACATGCGTCGAATCACGACCGCTGCTTCAGCTGCCAGAAGAACAGTTGCTTGTAGGACAAATTCCAGAAGCTGGAGCAGATTGTGGCCAAATTCATTTCTGGAAGCAATTACATAACATAATTACTGATATGACCTCATTCACCTCACTAACGGAGTGAAGGATGGCACATTATGACAATGCATTTTAACTGTAAACGTGATATTTTTAACACAATTGCAAAAATTTGCTTGTTTTGCGAGCCTTGGAGTGACTGTGCTGTTTCTACATGACTGTCCCAGCACCTTTGAATGGATAAATTTCATATGAATTACATAGAGCTGTAAGATATGGATGGGGGGGGGGCAGTGGATGTGGGGCCATGAATCTCGGTGG